CAATACATTTTTTTCCACTCTTGCAATTTCTTAGTGTGAATAGAATCCTAGAATAAAGGAATCAAGTTATGTTTCACTTTATGATCTTCAATACTTGGAGAAAAAAAGAAAAGAAAAAGGCACTCTATTAGTTCTATCAAAATTAGTTTGCTAAAGGATCACACTGTAACAGTTCTGAGACAGGAGTTTCTTTCTTCCCTGCATGTTATTTCAACTCTTGCAAGGCCTGGAACCCTGCAAAGTTTTTTTTTGAAAAATAGAATAGTGACCAACAGGTGACCTTATCCTGCTTGAGAGTTATTTGGCTTGCGCGTTTCAACCCCAGTGAAGAAAATCTGCATAACATGTCCCAAATACCATCAACTTACAATCACTTCTCGCTGATTACTAAGCAACTGACATCACCTACCAAGAAACAGATGTAAATTACCTGGACCTTTCCATATTCTGTTACATGTTGTTGCTGTGTGACATGGCAGCAGAGAGGCAGTCAGTCTACTTGATGCCTGTCATGGAACTGCGAATGAAGCCAAGGTTTGCCACCGAATTCCTCCATGCAGAAAAAATAGTAATCACTGACATTCATTGATGCTTGCCGAAGGTTTATGGAGACCAAACAGTGGATGTGAGCACAGTAGGTGGTGCATTTCAGCAGTGGCAACAGCCACATAAAAGACAAGCCATGTTCCGGATGGCCATGCACAGCTGTCACACCATGAAATGAAGAGTGTCTCAATCTGCTCATCCACACAAATCATGGATTACAACCAAAGAACTGTGTTTGGAGCTGAATAACAATTTCAATGCACTGGGACACAATGGTGGCAACACTGGAATATTGCAAAGTTTGCTCCAGGTTAGTGCCATGGATACTCACACACTGAACCCATATGAGGCTGAAGGTGACAATTTCTTGGATGAAATCATTACTGGTGATGAGACATTGTGTCACCATTGTGAGCAGGAGTCAAAACAGCAATCTGTGGAGTGATGACAGGTGAACTCTCCATTGAAGAAAAAGTTCAAGACACAGCCCTCAACAGGTACGGTGATGTGCAGTATGTTTTTGTATAGGAAGAGAGTGATCCTTCTCAATTCTCTGGAACCTGGATAAATCATGAACTCTGACTGCTATATCATGCCACTGACTAAGCTGAGGGCTTGATCTTCCAGAGTCACGCCACAGAAGAATACAGTACAGTCTTTATCTTGCAACATGATAACATCAGTTCCCATATCAGTTTGAGGACTGTGGAACATATTTCCAGTGCTGGCTTGGCTGTCCTATCATACTAACTGTATAGTTTGAATGTGATGCCTTCTGATTTCCATCTGTCCTGGCCGATGAAAGGAAAAGTTCACAGGCTACATTTTCATTGCAGTGATGACACCACCATAGCTGTGAAACAGTGGGTCACCTCCTCTGGTGCAGGTTTTTATAAGCACAGCATACAGGTTCTTGTTCATCACTGGTGAAACCTCAGAGCCAATGGTGGTCACTATGCTGAAAAATAGTGTTCTGTAGCTGATAATTTGCTCTTTCAAATAGTGTTATTGTGCTTTTTGCATCTGTTGTAGTTTTCATAGAAATAAATAGGAGGCATTGTTTTTGGAGTGATATATGTAGTTGTTTGTTTTGTTCTTTTAATTACTTACTATGAATACATCAAGAGATTAAGCACTGTGGAAGGGGAAAGGATGTTAAAGAACAATGTTGGCAGAAAGGCCATCACACATGAACAAGCCAGGAACTTTATCTGGAAATCATAATATTTCAAATAATCAAATCAGTGCTATGCTGTAATTACTTTCCTGGAGCTATAGTATGGGCAGAAATTGAAACAATTTTAAGATAAATCTGTGTACAGGGTTTCTGAAATAGTGAGGGACTCGAGTCAAAGACACAATAAGTACTTTCCAGTGCTGAATCATAAGATCGTAAATTAAATTACTGCTGCTCTACTTCTCTTCTTGAAGTAGTAGCATGGAGCAAGAAATTAATTTCATGTCTCCATAGTCAATTCTCTATTATCTAATATGTTATGAGATTGAGTTATCCTGGATAATAGAAGTGGAACATGCTGGCCAGGCCAGATTAAGGCTGAGTCTGGCAGAAACTCGGTGAGCTTCTTGCTTCTATATACCAGATAAATTATGACAGACCAGAGCTCAGTCCTGAAGCTCTTAGCTATTCCTGTTGAGCTTCTGAATATTCCAGGCTTTGGGGAAATTTTTTATTTATGTTGGGCAAAACAGTTTGCAAAGGCATAAAACCATGACTTGAGTGTATGCACTGCCATGCTTGAAGATGCTTGGAAGCTTGATTCAAAGATCCAGCTAGCTCAACAGGACTCAGCTCCATCCTGATCAAGCTTCTTAGCTCTGGCTTAATGCCAGCCATATGAGACCCTGCTGAGTAAAAAAAATGGCAGCCCACCTCTGCCTGTGTTTACCTCTTCCCTTTTTCCTTCTCTGCACAGAGAGGAATTTTTTCAGATACTATGCCAGATTTGAAGATCATGAGGAATGAGTGAAGGTTTTTCAATTGATTTTTACTTTATTTATATAAATCAGTACTTTTCTCTAAGTATTTATCATCATCAGTTGAACTGTCTTACTGGATATTTTCTAAAATTATTCAGCTGAAGGTAGATAGCTGAAGAAATTTTCACATAAATAGTTTGTTTACAACATTATAAATCTCTAAATATCAGAAAGTTTAGTATGCCAGACAGCCCAATAGTCCTTCCAGATCCTTAATCCCTTAGATGTTTGCTCAGTCTACATCCAAGTAGTGTTAATAAAAATTGAAAATTTTCTTTTCTTGGGAAACCTTTCTACTGTTTTTGTTTCATAGTTTTTAAGATCTTCTCTCTAAAGTAGAAAGAAAACTATATGAAAAAATATTTCCATAGTATATTTCTGTTCATGTAAGAAGGTGTCCAGAAACTTGGAGCACCCTTGGCTGTGGGACCAGATGGTAGATGCTGGAAGCATAGAAATCCCCACCTCCTCTGTATGGTAGAATTTCTTGTGAAATGTGAATCTTGGAAATTAGAGTTCCTGAACATGATCTGACAAAATAAGAAGTTTTACCGGCAGAAATCCTAGCTGATTCATTTTTATGGGCAATACAAAGCACACATCTGAAATGTCCAAGACTGCAGGTGACTGGAGATCAGTTCTCCAATCAATTTATTTAAATCTTTAAATATTTAAATACATGAGATTCCAACTGAAAAGCAGATCTGCATTTCTCTCCATTGGAAAGTACATGTTTAGAGGTAATCATCTGGAAATGCTAGGCAAAAACAGAAGCTGGATGCCTGGAGCTGGGCATTATCTTCTGAAGAAGTGAATATAGGGTCCTGTTTTGTTTAATAGCTTCATGGTTAAGCCCATCACTCAAAGGTCAGATCTGATATATTTTTGAGAGATTCAGTCTCAGAGCTCTTATTTCCCAAGGAAATAAGCTAGGCTACAATCATCATTACAGAGGAGAGGACAGATCCAGTCATTATCTAACACTAAAGGAATAAACAACTGGATGAGGAGGAGGGCAGTTTTGTACAATGAGAAGAGCAGCTGTAACTCCCTTTTGCCCCTGCTCAGCATGGCTCTCCTACATCATTTTATGCAGTCACTTCCAGCTGGGGCAAGGCAAAAACCCTGAGTGCATTTCCAAGGCTAGCAAATGCCTGATGTAATATAAAACTGTGACTATTCAGATGTAGGTAAGCTTTAGTTGACTTGAGTCCCAAAAGCAGATTTTAACTCTACAGAAGAACAAAGTTTTGAATAAATAGGTATATTAACTAATGAAAGCCTACATTTATTTATCTGGTTAGGATGTGAATGGTGCATCTGTGAATGTAAATGACTTATCAATTAAGGCTTCTCCAACTAGGTAAATGATATGATAGTGAATCTAAAATTCTCTAAATAAACCTGTCACATTTTTATACATCTCCACCATCAGGAATTTGAACATGTGTGCTTAATGCTTCATCTTTGGTAACTCATGAAAAATGATTGGTAGATGGTTAACAGTTAGAGCTGTGCCAGAATCAACATTCTTTCTTTTCCTAGAAGCTGAAGATTTAAAGATTTTCCCATCAGAAAGATTTATGCAAGGATTTATGGATCCTGCAAAAGTTGGCTTACACTACATTATTCCTTTAACTTTTGGAAATATTATTTCTGAAAACCTACTTTTTAAAGTACGAAAATAGGGAGCACTTCTTCATGAAGTCCAGGAGATCACATTTTAAGTATGGTTAATACATTCTCCTTTTATTTAGCAGTCTTGCAGAGTTGTTACAATGCTTATCACTGTAAAAGCTGCAAATTAACACAAACTGCTTACCATAATATTTCTTTGATCAACAGTGAAACTTAATTTAACGAAATACATGCTTTCAGAGCTCTGGGAATTCTTACTCAGATTAGTTTATTTCCTCTGATATGTCTTTCTGCCTTCTCCCACCTTAACAGCAATTACTTGAAAAGCACACCTCCTGATTTAGTCTGTTGTAAATGACATTAGAATGGATCAATTTATTCATAAAATAGTTATGTTTTGTTATCTCTTCCAAGACATTAGAAGGAGAAGTAAACACTGTGAAAATTTTATTAATGGTGGCAGCTTTGTCATTCAAAAATTAACTGTGGTCAGAACGGTGTTGCAAGTAATATTGGTAATAAAAAGATAGGAGTTGTATAATTGATGGATATCAAGATGTTACAATCACAAAATAAACAAGAGAGTTAGGTGAAGTAGACTATGATAACAAGAGAGAATAAATGAAAGGCTTACCCTTATGCTGGGCTCACCACAAAACACCAGAAGAAGGGATCTCCAGGCAAGATCCTTCCCTGCTGGTAGCCAGCTCTTAAATAGGTCTAGGAGGAGTGGAGCCTGGTTCCACCCCTTCCGGCAGTACAGGTGAATTGCCTTCACCTGTGCTCCTCTGGCTGACTCATGGCTCACCTCAGGTGATCAATCAGAGGTTCAGCCTGTGACTCAGTAGTTCCCATACAGGAGTTCAACAACAAATAGGAAAAAGAAATTGAAGAACACTCGTGCAACTAAGATGTTGTCAAATTAACTGTCCCTGCTGTAATTTACCTAAGGCCACTTATAAAATTGGTTGAAATAATTTCCAAGCCACTAGTAGTTGTCTTGTTAACCCACCAGGAAAATGGTGAAGTTTTGAGAGCCTGGAAAATGGCAAATACAGAGCCTATCTTCAGAAATGAGAAAAAGAAAGAGTCAGGGATTGCAGAGGAGTCATCTTAACTTCAGTTCCTGGAAAAAGTTCTGGAACAATAATCAACTGAACTATTTGTAAGCACTTGGAAGATAACAAGGAGGTGAGTAAAAGCCAACATGATTTTGTTGAGAATAAACCTCTCCAAAATAGCTTTACTTCTACTTATGACAGATTAGAGGCCTTGTGGACAATAGCTGCCAGATATCTCTCAGTTGTAGTCAGAATTTTGACACCTTCTCATATAACATAAGCAGTTTTAAGAAATGTGGTCTTAGCGAACTATAGTAAAATTAGTGCAAGACTAAGTGGTTATTGTAAGTAGTGTTTTGATTCGGATAGATATTATTCTTTTTCACAGACACCAAAGCATGAACACCCTCAAGCACAACGGAAGGCAGTAGTACAAACCTCACAAACTGGAAACACAGTCCACAAATTAGGATGTAGTCCAGTAGACATACTAAGGTAGGTAAAATATTCTGTGCAAATGATGTGATCAACCTGTTGAGTAGCAATTCTTCAGGAAAAACTCAGAGGGTTATAATAGTTTACAAACTGTGTATGAAACAGAAGTGCCATTTAGCTGGGGAAAAGGGCAATTACAAATAGAAATTTCATCTGTAATGAATGTCTGCTCAGTATGGTATGACCACAGGAGGAAAACAGTGGTATGTTTCTGAGGTCTTTTGTTTCAAGGAATACATAAACCAGTTAGAAAAAAATACAAAGAAGAAGAATTGCTAACGGTGTAGAAGGCATGATGAAAATGTACACTGAAGGAATTCGGCGTGTTTAGACTGGAAGAGGGGTAGCTGGGTAGGGGTGATAACAATCTTTAAATATGTAAAAAGTAATAAATTGTACAAACTGTCCCCTCTGTCTTTTGCATAGTTTGTTGGTGCTGTAGCTGATACCCAAGAAGCAAAAGTGTCAGAAAGCAGAAGGAGGACTAGAACCATCTGTCCCAGGACACTGTGGACTCTGTCACTGGGTACTTTGAAGACCAACATTAGACAATCATAGAATGTTCTGCATATAGTTTGCCTTCTTGTGATTAAGGATTCAGTGACAACAATGTTTTCTTCCACTCTATTTTCTATGGGGTGTGGTAAATATATCAATGAAACACTGTTCTTTGGCTCTTTTCCTTGTCTTTGTGGACAATTTCTCTGAAATAAGAGATTTTCCTAATATCTTGTTGCTAAAGAAACCACATTTCAGGCAAGGAAAATGGGGCAGTTGAAAACATCCAAAATGTCCTTGATACCTGCTATGTTACACTCACAAAGAAAACAAAATGTTCCCAAACTAAAGAGTACAGCACATAGTTTGGTTAGTCACTTTGGATGTGATTTTGAATGAAAAGTCAAGAATCACATACTTAGTGGTATCTTCTTATAAACTTCTGGGTATTTATTAACCATCAGCAGTAATTGAGCTGTTGTTCAGGTAAACTTCTGTAGCAAGGATACATCATTCCAAGATTATACAGTGCCATAAAAGATGGTATTTTATAGGAGGGAGTAAAGAAGATGGAGCCAGGCTCATTTCTGTGGTTCCCAATGGGCAAAAACAGAAACACAGCTGGTTCCCTCTGAATATCAGGAAACACTTTATTGTGAAGAAGTGTGTGATTGTAATATGGAAGAATGTAGACTTTTCCAGTAATTCCTCTCCTTTTGGTCTCGATATTTGAAATACTAGCATTTGTGTTAGTCTCTACTTTGTTGTTTAGTCAGACTAATATATTTTTCAGTTAATTTGCACTATGTTATTCACCAAATGTAAGTTCCATTCTTGCAAGAACAATATTTTCCTTTTTTATGTCCTTGCCATAATTTGAACGCTATTTAGTACGCTCCTCCTGCTGATTCAGAGCCATAGTCCAATTTCTGGCATCATTTTCATCTGCTATCATGTCTGTCATTTTCATGTGGAATGGAACACTTCTGGTTTGTTTGAGGTACCACAATAATTTTTTTATCCAATAACATAACAGATGTACTCACTGACAAATGCAAAAATATACAAATATAAAAATTGGAAACACAGTGTTTACAAAAGAGGGAGAGTCATATTCTGCAACCAGCTGAACAGAAGATAATGATCTGAGTCACACAGAGGCACATAACATTCTTCATAGCGGGTGGAAAGATTTTGAACTACGTGAGTCCCTGGCTGACATATTCAGGTACTAGCTCCCCATTCATCCCTTGGATGCATTATGAAATCTGATAAGTGGCAAAGACACATCACAACATCTGCATGAGTAAAGGCATTTCTCAGTAAGGGCTGAAAGAGTTTCACAAGAACCTTGATGCATATTCAGATACGCTAAGGAGGAGTTTTCAAAAGGAGGATTGTGAGGCTCTGAAACAAGTTGCCCTGAGACGTTCCAGATACTCCGTCATGGATAATGTTTAAAGATGATTTGGAGAGACTTTGAGCAAAATGACTTAGTGAAAGACATCCTTTCTCATGGCAGGGTGTTTGGAATAGATTATATTTATGGGTTCTTTCCAATCCAAACCATTCTGTAATTATTGAAGAAAATATGGAAGCAATTGATAAGTATTATGCTTGAGATGCAATGCACTAAAACCTTTCGTGGCTTTGACACAAGGAAGATGTGTTGTGTAGTGGGGATATTTGAGAATAAGGGCACTTAACCTTGGTAACAAAATCAGAACCTAAATCTGGACCCCTGTTATTCAAAATCTTATCCCTATGCTGTACCTATATAAATACTGTTATTGGTGTTTTTGCTTTCATATTCTAGTTTGTTTGGTATTAACACTACATTTTCTCCTTACTGAAAAAGGTTTAAATAAGTGACCAGAGCACTGTTAAACTACAGTAAGTCAAAACCTATTCAATAGCATTTAAGAATACAACAGTTCTCATATTTTTCACAAACTCATCCCCAACAATATCTACCTTTACTTTCCTGAACTTTTGTTTGTTTAACATATAATCAGAACAAATTTCACAGTTCTCCTTCATAGTTCACTAGCAGTATTTGCCAATTCTGCCCCAATGAATTTATGGTATGACTGCCAAGCCTGTCAGTTACTGGCATGTTTTTTAATGCACTAGACCTGACCTCACCAGTATTGTCATACAGATGCACTGACAGGATTTCTGGGAATGTTTCCTGTATTGTTATGCTGAACCACTGTTACTTTCCCAGTGAACTGTGGGAGGAGTTGGTCTGTTCTGGAAATTCTAAGAAAATTTTGTGGACTTAGCATTTGTTTAATTTAGTGCATCCACAATAGAATGCATTAACAGCTTTACCAAAACCAACAGCACTCAGCTTGGATATCTATCCTGGTCTGAGGAACAGTTTGATTTTGAGACTTGTTTATGTAGAAAAAGCAAGGTTAAAGAACACTGTTAGTGCACACTACAACATCTGCTTTGAATGCATAATGTAGAGAAAAGAAAACTCTAAAATTTTTGCCCATCATTAGATGTCATATCTTTCTCTCCTCTTTTTCTCCGCCTATCCAAATTCCTGACAAACTCCTTTCCATCCTAGAAGCCACATAATGCCATTGTTGAAACATCTTCAATCCCTTTGGGTTACATCAGCCTCATGCTTTTACAAGCCATATACCTGGGAACTTCCTTTCCACCTTTCGCTTAGCTTTGGTATGTTACTTTGGCAGCAGTTTGTTAGTCAAGCTGAGGCTATGAAAAATATCAATGAATTTGTTCTGATGGTTTTCATTCGCTGCTCTTTGAAGGTGAACTACAAATGTATATCTGACTAGATGCATACACATATTCAAGCAAAAATTTTTAAAAATGCATCTTTTATAGTCTGAGGTAACTGCAAAGCTATCTAGAGAATGAGAAGATAAATTGTAGCCATTAATAACTAACTGACCATAGTTCAATTAACCATGCACAGAAAAATTGTGCACAGTACTTGTAGTTCCTTTTCTCTGTCTCCTAGACACAGAAATCAAGACAGCCATAAAGTCAGTGACATGCTCAGAAATGCCCATTTGCACCGTTGCAGGCTGCAATGGCCTAAAACTGGAGCATAGGAAGTTCCATATTGACATGCAGAACTTCTTTGTGGTAAGAGTGACAGGTTGCCCACAGACTTTGCGGAGCCTCTTTCAATGGAGATATTCAAGACCTGTCTGGATGCCTACCTGTGTGTAGGGTACCTGATTTAGCAGAGGAGTTGGATTCAGTGATCTCTTGAGGTCCCTTCCAACCCCTGCAATTCTGTGATTATGGACATACCACATGATGTTAACAAAAACCAGCAGATACTTTGTGGGTATCAACTTGTAAGCAGCAGTATTTCCCACTCCAAAAAATACCCTGATGCTGTTTAAAAGTTTTTCCTTAACAAAAATAAATTTTATGTAAGTCATAAAATTTTTCATTAATACCACAATGATGGTCTGAAAGCAATAATTTACTTAAATCTGGTACTCAGTTCCAGCAACAGATTTATGTTAATGACTATGAGAAACTTTCATCCATTAATGTCAGCAAGTGTGCCCACTGACTAGATCACCTGATGGGAGAGCAGCTGCAGAGCTTTCCTGTTTATTCACAGCTGCATCCAGGCTTACTGGATAAAAGCTCTGATTTATAAGAGTAGCACTCATCTATTAATTTAGTGCTAGGCTGTTATTCTAGCCAATTTGCTTTTTGAGTTCTACCAGTGTTCTACTGTTGAAGTGACATAATTCACTTAAAATACATCAGTACTAGTTGGATAAATGGATCAACTGACAGTTTTTTCTTTAGATTAACCAAAGTAAGACGCATAACTTATTTAGGATATCCCCAGATAAATAAATAAAGGGGATTATTATAAAGTGGTCATTTGTAACAAGATAAAACTGAATTCTATGACATAGCAAAACCCATTGTATTCAAAGTTACAGTGAGATAAAAATTAACGAAATTTATGAAATAGTTAAAAGGAGTGTACCTCTTAAAGGAGTTGTCAAAATTCTCAAAAAGTGTCTGAAAACTAGCATTCTATATATCCTTGCTCCATCATTAATTCTAAGCAACGTGAATATTTACAGCTTTTCAATCTTGCCACTTACAGCTCATGCATGAAACTCTGGCCTGTGACTTCAGCAAGGGTAGAGTTTCACTCCGTATTCTTAATGTTCTGTAAGCAAATCCAAGGTATACCACAGAGCTGTTAGGCAAAATTATTTCTATTTTCTAAATTTTCCCAAGTTAAGTAAAATATTTATGTTGGTAATTTCTGAAGTTCACATAAAACTGATTAATAGAAAGAGTGCTTATTTTAAAAATTCAGCTCCAATCGGAAGATATCACTTCATAATACTTGGCTGACATTTCACAGCAAAGAGTGAGCTTTCTGCAATGGAGAAACCACGTCAAATGTGTGTTTTGTAGTCTTGTCAACAGAAATGATTTTACTAATTGTATCGTGATCAGACACTTATAGTACATTTGGGCAATGTTTTTTCCAAGTGCCAAGTTTCTTAGTCTCTAGCATAGGAGATCTGGACTTTCAGAATGCCAACCAAAATTTGAGAGCTGTTAAAATTAGAGGAAAAACCTCAAGTTGGAGACCATTTTTCAGGATACTAGCTCTTAGCAAAGACACAGAAAAATGTAGTAGATCTAAATGTCCTAATGTAGCAACACATAGAGACATCAGTTTGGAAGTCAGAAGTTGCAAAACTGTTAGGTAGCACCAAACAAAAACTAATGTGGCTGAGCAGTCTGAGAAAACTGTCCCACAAACAGAATCTTGCTCCTTCATCCTGAACCACTGTGAGTTTAGATAGCAGAGCCAACATGAGGTGCAAGGGCACCTTTAGAGACCTTGTCCAAGCCTCTGTTCACACCAGGATCAGCTACAGCATGTTGCCCTGGACTGTATTCTAAATATTTCCAAGGCTGGAGACTCCACAACCTCTCTGAACAACCTCTGCCAATGCTCAGTCACCTTCACAGTGAAAGACAAGTTTTCAAAGTGGAATTCCCTGCATCTCGGTGCGAAATGCCTTCTCTCCAGTCAGTGGAAAATTCAGAGAAGAGCCTGTCTCCATCTTCTACTCCACTATCACAGTGAGGAAACCCCC